CGCAGGCCTCTCACCTCCAGCCTCTGCCTCTGCCTCCAGTTCAAGTGCTGTGGAAGCAACAGCTCAGCCGACTGGCAGCACAGCACGTACATCCTGTCACGGGAGGCCGAGGGCCGCCGGGTGCCCGACAGCTGCTGCAAGACAGTGGTGACGCGCTGCGGCCAGCGGGCCCACCCCTCCAACATCTATAAGGTGGAGGTGAGCACCCAAGCTCAAGCTGGGGGTGAGGAGAGGGCCCCGGCCTGGCCGTTCAGGAGCCCCAGAAAGGCTGGATCAGGCAAGTGGGTGTGGGAAGGCAGGACACATGTGCTCCTTGGCCACGAGCCCACAGCGCCTGGGGCTTTCCAGAGTCTCTACAAAGCCCTGGGACAAGCAGCTCATACCGGAGAGTCTAGGACACCACGAATGCCCCTGGGTCCACTCAAGTAGCCTGTGGGCAGTTCAAGGCTGGGTCCAGCCTGTGAGTCCTCTGGCTTGTCCTCAGCCTCTGCGGCAGTGACAGCCCGCCCTCCCTCCCCACCCGCGCCTGCTCCTGGGCCATGGCCGCGTCACCTGCCCTTGTCTTACAGGGAGGCTGCCTCACCAAGCTGGAGCAGTTCCTGGCCGACCACCTGCTGCTCATGGGGGCTGTGGGCATCGGGGTGGCCTGCCTGCAGGTGAGTTGCAGTGCAGGGACGGGCGGGGGTGGAAGGGCTCTGAACCCCTCTCGCATTGACACAGGTCTTCAGTAACCACCTGGGCTGAAATAACTGACCCTTTGCACACCCGTACCCCACCCTGCTCTCTTCTTCTCTCCCCCTCCCTCTGCAACCAAGGCTGAATCCCACGGTCAGTATCTCCCCCAGAGAACATGAAGGAAAATAGCTGGGGGACAACATGAACTTGTCGGGAACAGGGACCTGGGAGGAGTGTGAGTGTGGGCTCAGGTATGTGCATGCACCCCATGGGTGTGCACGGAGGGGCGAGTGTGCAAGCCATCTGTGGTACGTGTGTCTGCATGCTTCTGGGTCCATGTGGTCGGGGTTGTATGCACGTATATGTGTTTAGGGGTGCTTGTGCATGTGTGTGTGAGTGTGCATGTATCTGCATTCATTCCTTTGTGTGTGCATGTGTGTTTGTGTGTGTATAGTCAGTCCTCCATGTCCATGGGTTCTGCATCCATGAATTCAACCAACTGTAGATCAAAAATATTCCAAAAAATGGATGATTGCATCTGTACTGAACAAACCTTGGCACCATTCCCTGAATAATGCAATATACCGACTATTTACATAGCATTTACACTGTATGAGGTAGTATAAGTAGTCTAGAGATGAGGTTCAGGTATTATATAGGGGAGAATGTGCATAGGTTATATGCAAATATTGCACCATTTTATATCAGGAATTGAGCATCCATGGATTTTGGTGTCCAGGTTGGTGACCGTGTATGTGTGTGTGCGCCCTCATCCAGCTGTCTCTCTTAGGATGAGCAATGTCCTTGGCTCGCATTTCTCCCTGTACCCTCTCCCCTAGCTGCTACCCAGGAAGTCAGGGTGACTCTCTCCGGTTGCTCTAGCCAAGGGTCCGAAGGAGGGGAGCCAGGAAGGCCTCCGCAGCAGCAAGGACCCCTGCAGTCCCCACCTCATGTACATGGCTGCTTCAGCTCAGCAGGAGCTGAGTGTGGGCTGTCCTTCTAGGAGTCCTGCTGTCCCGCGCAGCCCTTCCCACTCCAGGGTTAAGCACCGTCTAGAGAAGGGGAGGAGCAGAGGGTTTGGTCTCAGAAGGCCCGGGTCCAGTCCTGGCTTTGCTCCTAGATAACCTTGAGCTATTTAACTTCCCTGTCCATTGACTTCTTCACCTGCAAAATGTGGACCATTTCCCCAGCTCTTGAATGAGGCGAGATGCCTGTGACCCACTTACAAAGTACCTGGCACATAGGAAGGCCTCCAGAAGTGGAAACTGTCTTTCTCCAGTTTTCTGTAGACTTCAGAGGATTTCTGATACTTCCTCTCATTGGGCCCACACAACAGCCTGAGACTCAGGCCAGAAAAGAAGTAGTGTTCTTCGCTTTTTTTTTTTTTTTTTTTTTTTGGCGACAGAGTCTGATTCTGTCACCCAGGCTGGAGTGCAGTGGTGCAATCTCAGCTCACTGCAACCTCCACCTCCCAGGTTCAAGCGATTCTCCTGCCTCAGCCTCCCAAGTAGCTGGGATTACAGGCGCACGCCACCATGCCGGCTAGTTTTGTATTTTTAGCAGAGGCTGAGGTTTCATCATGTTGGCCAGGCTGGTCTCCAACTCTTGACCTCAGGTGATCTGCCCACCTCGGTCTCCCAAAGTGCTGGGATTACAGGCATGAGCCATGGCACCCAGCTGCTCTCCACATTTTACAGATCAGAAAGTTGAGACCCAGAGAGGTGAGTTACCCAGGGCCTCACACCCTGAACCGGCACCCAGGTCTCCTGGCTTTGGTCCTTTGCTTTCCCGAACTCCCTACCATGACACAGAGGTCTGTGGGAAAGAGAGCCCTTAACTGGCTTGGAGAGACTTCCAGTGCAGGGTCCTTGGAGACCATGGTGCCACCTACCCACATCATCTGTGGGCCTGGAGGGCCTAGCTGCAGCCTAACACACTGGGAGAAGGGTCCGTCGCCTCTGGAGGGACACCCATCTTGGTTCTGCCACCTACAACTGTGTGACCTAGGGCCAGTTCTTTCATCTCTGAGCCTCAGTTACTCATTTGTAAAATGGGGCTAGTTATACCTTATCTGCTGCCTGGTGGTGGGAATTAGCGATATCCATGTAAGTCACTCAGCTCATGGCTGAGCAGATAGCAGGTGTTCAATAAATGATACCCATCATTTCTGTGATTTCTGCATAAGCACATCATCTCTCAAAAAAAAAGCTCTTGTTCCTTGACCAGACCAGCCTGCTCCTCGTCATCCTCACTCAGCTGCAGGGCCAGGGAGCCCAGGTAGCGTGAGCATTGCCCCTCTATTGCACTTCCCCAGGGCAGGCCTCCTGTCCCCTGTGCTGAACCCCAGGGAAGTCGTCAGTGGGAACAGGGGAAGGGATGCTCAGCAGCACAGAGCAGCTGAACTTTCCAGAAACCTGTGAACTCCAGGTGCTGAGGGGTCCTGCTCTGTATGGACACTGACCAGGCCTGGGCCACTCTGTCTATTTCTTCCTCACCTCTCTGGCCTCAAGAACCTGTAGAAGCTGCAGACGAGGTCAGTGAGGCCGAGGGCAGGAAGTGGGGCTGCGGATGCCCAGAGCCGGCCGTCAAGGTAGACCATACTGGTGGAGGTCTGATGTTGAAAAGGTCAGGTTGTGGAGCAGTGGACCTGCAGGCCTGCCACGCCTCCTGCCCACTCACAACCCCCACTGCGCAGCCTGTGTTCCTTCGCCGTTGCTGTGGAATGGCTTTTGGTGGCTCTCAACCTCTTGCCCAGTTTTCTCAGCTGTGGCCCACTGAGCCAGCCCTGCAGCAGCCAAGCCTCGGGTTAGAGCTCCCTCTGCCAGCCGACGCTGGGCACTACACTGCTCAAGTCCCAGGTGGGTCATAAGCCTTGAGAAAGGGCTCATACCAGTCTCTTCCCCAGGGTCATAGTTTCCCTCCCAGTGAGCAGACACCAGGCATTTATCTCCCCTACATGCCCAGCCTGGCACTTCCAAGACCCCCAAGGCTCGGGAAATATCAGCCCAACATAGGGTCATAACGTTCCCTAGCCCCCAGCTACTGCAAGAAATCTTGCTTGGGAGTTACAAGGCCTGATTTCTAAACATAGCCCCACCTCTTGCTGTGTGACCTCAGGGAAATCTCATTCCCTCTCTGAACCCTTAGTGTCCTTACCTGTAAAATGGACAGATTGGATATTTGTGAGCCTTTTTAAAGCAGCAGCATCCTCTTTTCAATGGAAATGTTACGTAGGAGCCCAGTACATAAACCATAGGAGGTGGAGCTGTTCCAGGCAGACACAAGCCTAGCATCATGACCTGCCCTCACAGCCCTTGGTGGCCCTGAGCTACGCAAGGGTTTCCAATACAGCTTGCAAGCTGTGGGTCTAGCCTATTTTGTGGGACGTTCTGGATCTAGCGTTCTATGATTTTTCAGTGAAGTTCTCATCTTAGGAACCAGTGACCTTGAGACTGATGTCCTGCAATACCTGGAGTGTTAAAGCAGATGGTTTGTGAACACTGAAAACTAAACAGAATATTTAATGCAGGGAGCACACCTTGATTTCAGCGAGGTATTTGGCAGTGCATCACTTGTTGCCTTGTGGACATGTGGACCAGGCACTTGTCTGCTCAGGAGAAATCAGGGCAGGCTGACTGACCACGCTGTGAGAGGGAGATGAGGGAGTTCACGTCAGCTTGGCAAAAAGTCTCCAGGAGTGGGCTGTGGCCCTTCAGCCTCAGACCTGTCTCTTCATTTTTCTTGGTGACCTCAACAAAGACCCAGGAAGCATGCTAAACTATTTACCTAGCGTTTCTGGTCTGTTGTATGATAAAGCTAGTATTGAAAAAAGAGCTTGTTGGATGTGAAGATGTGCTGAAATGAAGGCTGAAACACTTCACAGAGTTAAAGTCCTTGCACTTGAGCTTTGTTTTGTTTTGCATTTAAGCCTGTAACAGACAGAGGGCATCTGCCTGAGTTACATGATAGGGTGCTGCCCCCAAAGATGTGGCCTGAAACGGCACTGGTAGAAATCGTGGAGAGAGCCAGGATGTGGGCAGTGCCAGCTCGGGCCACCCTCCAGGTAGGAGCAGACCTCCACAGAGCCCCCACGGCAGGGACCTCAACCTCGGCTGCACATTGGGATCACCTGACAAGCTTTAAAACTACCCCAGGCCTGTCATCCCAGCACTTTGGGAGGCCGAGGCGGGCGGATCACAAAGTCAAGAGATCAAGACCATCCTGGCCAACAGGGTGAAACCCCATCTCTAGTAAAAATGCAAAAATTAGCCGGGCGTGGAGGCATGCACCTGTAATCCCAGCTAATCGGGAGACTGAGGCAGGAGAAATGCTTGAACCCAGGAGGCGGAGGTTGCGGTGAGCCGAGATCGCGCCACTATACTCTAGGGTGACAGACTCCGTCTCAAACAAAACAAAACAAAAACAAAAACAAAACAAAGCTACCCCAGGCCTGGGCTACCCACAGCAAAATGAAACAAAATGGTCTGGGGCTGGCACCTGGGCATCAGTGTATTCGTGAAGCTCTCTAGTGATGCCACTGTGTGGCCAGATGCAGAGGGAGTGGCAAGGGGTGTGTGGGGCCCGGAAGTCAGGTGTGTGAGAGGTCAGGAGATGGGGAGCAGACGCAGCACCCTCGTGGTCTTGAAATGCCCAAGGCAGTCATGTGGGGAACGGAGGGACTGTTCCTGGGAGGTTCCAGAGGGCAGAAGGGGAACAGTAGGTGGAATTAGTTTCAAGGAGACACATTCAAGAACTTTTTAACAATTTGAATTGCTAAACAGTGGCCCTTGCAGAGTACTAAACTCCCTGTGGCTGCAGGTTGGGGCAGAGGCTGGGGGCAGGGATGCTGAAGGGAGGATCCCCTGCAGAGAGGAGGGGCAGAGGCCCCTCCACGCTGAGGTTCTGCATTCTGGGAGTGCACTTATCCCCTCAGCAGAGACCTCCCAGGCTTCACACCCACGTCAGTCATGGAGCGGCACACCAGAGGCAGTTTCAGACCTGGACAGGATCATCATAGCGCTGAGGTACTCCCTAATCAGACTCCTCCGCCTGGAAAGGCCTTACAGACTCCCTGGACCAGTGCCACCGGTCCTGGTTGCATGCTAGAATCGGGTTTTTAAATACCATTGCGGCCAGGCGCAGTGGCTCACGCCTGTAATCCCAGCACTTTGGGAGGCCGAGACGGGCGGATCACGAGGTCAGGAGATCGAGACCATCCTGGCTAACACGGTGAAACCCCGTCTCTACTAAAAATACAAAAAATTAGCTGGGCATGGTGGTAGGCACCTGTAATCGCAGCTACTCGGGAGGCTGAGGCAGGAGAATCCCTTGAACCAGGGAGACGGAGGTTGCAGTGAGCCAAGATTGTGCCACTACACTCCAGCCTGGGTGACAGAGCAAGACTCGGTCTAAAACAAAACAAAACAAACAAAACACATTGCTCTGGCCCCCTCTCCACAGACTGGCTTGGATTGTCTGGGCTGGGGTCTGTGCACAGGTATTTTTAAGCCTCCCAGCTGGGTCAAACGTGCATTTAGGGTTCAGAGTCCCTGGGCTCATCTCATTCATGCACATGTGAAGACATGAAGCCTCACCAGAAAGTCACCTGCTGAAGGTGACAGCCGCTGTGGCAGAGCTGGCCAGGTCTCCAGCTCACGGGCCTGCTTCCTCTGCACCAGCTTCCCCTCTTGTGGGTAGACTCTGGAGGCACTCCACTTTGAGGTAATTTTAGAAGCTAATTTCTAGAATATTCTGGCTGGGGAACATTTCACTGAAAATGTCAGAGTAGCCCAGGCCTTTTCCTGCAGCCCTCCTCACATCAGCGTCCTAGGAGCCTCCGCCCAGGCAGCCGGCAGAGGAGGCTGTGTTTACTTTGGAACAGAGCTTCTGTGTGCCAGGAGCTGTGCCCAGTGCCCGGGCCCCATTGCAGGCAGGGTACCGTCCCTTCTTCCAGGGAGATTTTACTTGAAGGAAGGGGACAGATAAGTGTGTGGCAGTCACAGTGCAGTGCTAAGTGCTGTGTTAGCAGGAGCCCTGGGGTTTAGGAAGCAAACATCAGTGGCCCTAACCAGTCACGGGAGGTCAGGGAAGGCTTCCTGGAGGAAGTGATATCTCGTTAAGTCCTGAAGAAGCCCGATAGAGGGGAAAGAGCCAGGGTGAGGGAATGGCATGTGCAAAGCCCTGGCTTGCAGGTGGGGAGCGGGGGTCTTTACCCTGCCTGGCCTCTCAAAGGATTGGGGTGTTGGAAGGACTGGGTGTTGTGCTGTTGGTTTCTGTTATTCTAGTTTTTAAAGAATCTCACCAAGGAAGACCCTAAACCAGTGTACAGACTGGATGTTTTCCTATTGGCAGAGGGGGATTTGAGGCTCAGAGAGGGAGGTAACTGTACCCAAGATGACACAGGCCACTGGTGTAGCCTCGAGTAGAACCTAGCCCACCTCCAACATGCTCACCTTGCAAATGCAAACGTGTCTCAGAGCATAGAAAACTCACAAGACAGTCAAGACTGGGATCTGCAGGTCATTAAAAGGGAAACCGAACGATCATTTTGGAATAACTTCCTGGACGCTCCCTGGCCCTTCCTTCATGCTCTCTGCTGACAGCCAGGTGCTGACTCAGAAGCCTCAGAGGAAGCTGAAGGCAGGACGGCCTCCCTGTGAAAAATGTCGCATGTGTGGCCAGGTGTCACACACAGGCAGCTGCCGGAAGACAGCACCAGGCACCCTGTGGCTGGGCCTCCAAGCTGAGCCCGACCCCATCTGCCACCTGCAGCGCCTGCGGTTAGCTGGCCTCGTGTTGTCTCTGCGTGCCCCCTGCTGGCTGCAGGAGCCATCCGTGATGGTGTCTCAGTGTCCTCTGTCAGGAGGGAGATGGCAATGCTTATTCAGGAACCAGACTGAGTGGCATCCTGTACCCCTCCACATGCTTCGGCGTGGTGTGCACGTGTGTGTGTGCATGTGGACGCAGTGATGAGAATCTGGCCCACACACCTCTGCCCCTTACTGTGCCTGTCCTGGGAGGCTCCCTGGGAACACCCAGCTCATGCAGGACCCTGTCTGCCCGGGAGCACGGCCCCTCCAGCCCTCCCCCAGCAGGAGACGTACACCGCAGGCAATGCAGATATGGTTTCCAGCACACACCCGTGCCAGCCAAACAGCTCCCTTCTGGCCTCCCTCTTAGCACAGATAAGAAAGATCCAGAAAACCCCACAGGAAAATCATCAAACCATGAGGTAGGGACACCTGCACGGGTGGAACGGCATGACAGCTGCCTGCGTAAAGCTAGCGGGAGATGAGATAACCTCCTAAGCCGCCTTTCAGCCTGAGGCCCCAGGTGGATTAACACCAAGTCTGCAGGCTGAAAGCAGTGTTCAGGCTCCACAGTGTCCTCCAGGTTGGGAGGGATGGAGAGGAGGAAGGAGGGGAAGGAGATGGACCGCTTCCATACTACCTCCCCCAGCTAGCCTGTCAGAGACTGGGTACGGGACACACACATCTCCACCAGCCTGCTCTCCTCCCGCTGGATAGAGCTCCACCTGCGTCCAGGTTTGCATCAGCAAGGTCAGGGCAGCAGCAGCTGCTAGCAGAGTCAGGACACTGTTTCAATACTTAGGGGAGCCACCTTCACCCCAGGTACCATGGGACAGTCATGGGGCTGCTGTAGTCCAGGGCCCCCTCCTGTGTGCAGACAGCCAAGATCCAACAACATGCCATCGTCATTATCAGGATCATAATCACATTACCCTCAATGCGTCCTTGGGTGGGAGGGAGGAGAGGAAGAGGAGGAAGAAGGCAGAGGGGGGCCATGAAGAGCAAGGAGGGAGAATAAAGCTCCTCTGCATTCTGGAAGTGGGAGAAGTGAGAAGGGGTGTGCAGGGTGATCCTCCCAGGCCTGTGTCTGCTTTGGACCAGCTGATCCAGCCCCTTCTTGTTTAGCCTGTGGATACAGACAGAAGGGCTGGCAGACAGGACTCCCGGGGCCTGGGCTTGGTGCTGCATTCTACACTGATTGACAGGGTGAGCTCACCAGCTCTTATCATTTTATGCTGACTGACAGGGTGACAGCTCAGCGGGCTCCTCCCAGAGTCTCAGTTTCCCCCATGGTTCCTGTACACCAGCCAGAGCATCGAAGATGGACCTGAGTTTTGCTCTGGAGTCCAAGGACAGCAAAACGCAGGCAGACTCTTTCCTAGAGAGACAGTCCACTTCAGACAGCTCTGGTGAGGGAGTGGAAATGTTACTCTCAGGGCCTAATTAAATCAGGCCGTCTCTGGAGATCTAGGACCACAGACCAGCAGCATCAACTGGGAGCTTGCTAGGAATGCAGACCCTCAGGCTGCCACCACGCCTGCAGAATTGTAATAAGGAGGTCCCCAAATGATTCATGCCCATTAAAGTGTGCAAAGCCCTACTCTTGGATAGTAGATGGCAGAATGTGGTTCCCCCATGCACACCGCCATCACCTGGGAGCTTGTCAGAAATGCAGAGTCTCAGGCCCCACCCTGACCTTCTGAGCAGGAATCTGCCCTTTGTCCAGGCCCCAGGGGATTCAAGTGAGCAGCACTGCTCCAGGGCCCTGGGGGCCAGCAGCTTCCATGAGTTCTGATCTCTCTTTGCTCCTCTGCTCTCTCCACCTGGCAGATCTGCGGGATGGTTCTCACCTGCTGCTTGCACCGGAGGCTCCAGCGGCATTTTTACTAATGGCCAACCACCTCCTCTTCCAACTGCCCCTCAGGACGACAGGTGGCCACATGCCATCTGCAAGGCCTGCAGAGTTAGCACCAGCTCCACTAGGGCCATAGATGCCCCCTCTTTTGTGCCCAGCTCCTGCAAATCCACCAAGTGCCTGAGACCATAGCTTCTACTGTGCCCACCCAGGCAGGGACCCTCGGCCCCCTCTCCTCCATTTTCAGCCCCCATGGCCAGATCCTGGGCAGGGAAATGATCCTTTCAGGAGACAACCAGAGCCCGTCACCAGGCACAGGGGCACCCGTGGACTACGGGATGGTGGCAGTTGAGTTCTCTGCTCCCTCCCAACCCCTGAACCTGGAACAATGGGCAGAAAACCCAGGAACCCCGGCACTCCTGCATTCAGCAGGGGCTTCCCTCGCCCATGCTCAGAAGCCCTGACCTTGTTGTTTCTGAAAAATGCATGGGTGGGGCAGGGAGGGCTGCCCGCCCCCCCCAGCCGGAAGACCTTGCCCTTTGACCTGCCCGCTCTCCACACTGCCTCACCTGGAAAGCCATGTCCTGCTGGCCTCACTCCTTCCTGCAGGGCCTGGGAGTGGGGAGGCCTGGGTAGGGCAGCCACAGGCTGGGTAGAGCTGCCCTGGCAGGAAGCAGGGGGTAAGGTGGCCACACCAGCACATGCTGCACCAGGAGCAGAGCCCTGCACCTGCCTAGCAGCCTTCCCGGGAGAAACCCCCTGGGAGACCATGGCCCCAAGCCCTGGCCTCTAGTGATATGCCCCCCAGGGATCTCCTGTTCCGGGGCCTGATTCTCAGGAACACCAGGTTTGCAGACCATCTTCAGTTCCTAATGTTGGTGGGTGTCAAACATCTGGAGTGGACCAACTCGCAGCCCTGCAAAGTTGGAGCCGCTGAGAAGCAGCAGCTCTGAATAGAGGGGCATCTGCTTGAACCTCACTTTTCCTGGGGCCCTCTCCTTGACCCCGTGGCCACCGCACTGCTTCCAGGGGGTCCCGCTCTGCTTCCCTTCCCACCCATCCTAGAGTGCACAGAGTTTTTCCCCCAGGTTCTCTCTTGCATCACTAAACTCAGCAGGGAATTTTCAGGAAGAACTTTCCCCAGTAATAAGGGAGAACGGAAAGAAAATCCTAGAAAATACAGAGTATCCATGCTGGCAGCTTTTTGTACAACACCCATAGGGACCCCCCAAATGGCTATTACAAGGGGGCAGCGCATTCACTACACAAGAACACCATACCTGGCTTCCACCCTCCCCAGGTCCTACACTTCTCCCCAGAGCGGGACCCTCTTCCCCTCTACGAAGGGGGGCACCTTGTGCTAAGGCCAAGACAGAGAGGGGTCCCAGCTCGCCTCCCTGCTTGATCCAAATTCCACTGTGGTGAGCACATTGCTGACCTAGGCCAGTCCTGGGGCAGGGGTGCGCTCTCTCCCAGACATAGGAGTGGCCTCAAGGCCACGCAGTGCTGACCCCAACAGAGCCCTGAACTGTCCAGAAGCTGCATCCTCAGCACAGGAAGTACCCACATGGACAGAGGGAAACCCAGCCTCGGGGCCGGTTGCCTCCTCTTCTCTGGGTGTTGTCCAGTGGCTTCTTGGAGCCTAGGCTGGTTTATCTCCCCTGCCTAAAAGGCCCTGGAGTTACCAGTGCAAATTCATTAAAAGGAAGACCAGATATCCCAGACTGCACAGGGCAGAGAGAAATGGTGTAGTGCATGATTCGCGCTGCTCTCCAACCTCCTGGAATTCGTGCAGATAATCGAAAACTGGCTGTGACTCCCAGGCTCCCTGAAGGATGAGATCACAACTGACAAATCTTACTACAGAGGGAGAGTGGAGAGAGAGGGGGGGTACTGGGCTAGAGCCATGTTCTTCCTGCCGGGGTGCCAAGGGGAGGCGGCAGTGGGCATGGGGTGCTGGGGCCTTACCTGTCTGCCCTAGTGGGGATGAAAGACAGGTGGCAGGCAGGTGCCCTGTGCGCAGCCTTGTCACTGAAGGCAGGCCAAGGAGAGCCTGCCCCATCTGCCCCAGCCCCATGGGATAGTTGGTCCAGCCTTACTGGGGCAGGATTAGCTGTGATTCCTGCCCTGTGTGTCGTCCAGCCAGACTGCCTCTTAGAGAATGGCTTGTCCAAGCTGCAGACAGTGGTAGAACAACCCAGGGCCTGGAAATCTGACCTCCTTGTCCATGCCAACAGCCTGGGAGATCAGACAGGGTTAGAGGAAATGGAGGCCCAGGATAGGGCAGGTTCTGCCTGGGAGTGTACAGTGGCTGGAGTCCAGAGCCAACCATGTGGTTCCCAGTGGAGTGTGCCCTTCCTGCTGACCAGGGTACAGCTCCATGTCCAGTTCAGTTCCTCCGGGGCCCCTGTTTGGAGGCTGGTACAGCCTTGAGTTCCTTGGAGAGAGAGGACATGCCTGTGGAATGTCACCATCAGTCGTGTGTGGGCAAAAGGTCCCTGCACGCCAGGGCCCCAGGAAAGCAGCATCAGGAGCTGGGATCCCACCCAGCTGGCCTGGGCACATCCTTGCCCTGCACACACCATGCTGCCCTTCCCTAAGCTTGCAGGGGCAGACACCAAGGGAGAAGGGCGCGTCCCCGAGTCCCCCGGGTGACCTGTGTCAGGACAGCCAGCAAAAATGAAACGTGGCCTTGGCTGAGGGGGTGGAAAGTTTGTGTCCATTCTCTTTCTCCCTCCTGCTTCCCTAACCCTAGCCCCATGTCCAGGGCCCCTCAGGCAGAGTAAGTGAGGAGTGTGTCCAGGCATGTTTTTGTGTTTACCAAGGTCCTGCCGTGCACTTAGAATCTGTCACCATAAATACTTATCTTGCAGTTACCCTAGTAAGAGGGCATTACTTCCCCCATTTTATAAATGAGGAAGTTAAGGCTGGGCAAAGTTAAGACTTGTCTGTCAGTGGTCATGGCAGTTGTCTTGCCACCCCCAGCCAGGGAGAAGGAAGGAAAGCTGGGCCGGGAACCCCTCTCCTCAGTGTCCCCCAGTTTTCCATCTCCATAATGAGCCATCGGGCTGTCAGTAAGGAACAGAGTGTCACTCGGGGGGCACTGTCACAAAGCAGCACCCGTGGCACATGTGCCGGAGATGCGGAAGCCTGGCTCATTTCAGGCTGACAGCTGGGCCCTCCGGGTACAGGGGCTCAGGCAGCAGCCAGGAGCCCAAAGCGCCAAGGCTCATGACGACCACCCAGCCCATCACCCCAAGTAGCAACACTAACCCCAAAGCAATAGCAGGGACTGTCCCTCAGCCCTCAGGGCCTTCATGCAGAGTGCGGAATCTCATGTCCACATGGAGGTCACCCCTCAGGTCACACCCACTTCCGGAGCCACCCTGGGCAGGCAGGGAGGGACACTCTGAGGATGCGTTGACCACCTCCCCTTCAGGTGAGGCCCTTTTCTGCCTGCTTTCTAGCCCCCTGCGTGGAGCACCTGCTGTTGCTGGGGCTCTGGGGTGGACCCTGTGTGATTTCTCTCAGCGAGCCTGTGCTGTGCACGGCCAGAGGTGTTTACATCCAGAAGGGCCCAGCACGGCCCTGTGGGGTATGGGGGGAACATGGTAGATCACTGTGATGTGCCTCGGGGCCCTCCTGCCCTGGAGCCAGCTGTGGTTTCAGAATCTGCTACTTGGGCCCTCTTCAGGGTTTTGAGGCTGGAGAAGTGAGTTGGAACAGTCGCTGTCATCACCGCCCACCCTGTCACCCACCTGGAAAACATGCTGAGGTACTGGCCACTCTGGGGCTGAGGAGGGAATGCCAGTCTTTTGCATGGCTGCTGGGCCAGGCTCACATCCACTGAGGGTATGGTGACCAAGCGTCTAAACCAGTCGTTCTCAAACTTCAGTGAGTATCAGAATCACCTGGAAGGGCTTTTCCAAACAGATTGCTGGCCCCACCCCCAGAATTTCTCATCAGGAGGGGGCAAGACCAATCCTTTGCATTTCTGACAAGTTCCCAGGAGCTGCAGCTGCTGGCCCTGGAACCACACTTTGAGAACGACTGCTTTAGACCAAACCCTAAAGGAAGATGCAGCCACCCTCCTTTATATGTCACAACGCTCAGGGTTCACGAGTACCTCAGGCTGTCCAGCTGAGCTCCACCTGCAGCAGCCGAGATTCCCGACTCACTCCACCACTGGGGGCTGGGAGTGAAGCATGTCACCATGGTCAGCTGATGGCCAGCCAGGAAAGCGTCTCTGCTGTGCGTCTGTGCAGTGCTTGCTCTTCCCTGGAGGACTTTTGCATGGCCTGTAATCTTGGCCAGGAGACCAGGTGCCTGGGTCCCTTCCTGGAAGGGGACAAGTTACACACCCCAGCCCCATTTTCCCACCAACTTCTACGTGCCTTGGGAGAACCTGCTACATTCTGGCTGCTCCCTTCCCCTATTTCAGCAGTGCCCAGCCCTGCTTATAAACCTGAGGCTTGCTCCGCATGCCCTGCCCTGTGCAAGTGCCAGCCATTATTCCAGACAGCCCAATGTTGGTGAGGCCGGATGGACTCCTGGAACCAGCTGGCCCATGGATGTGGGTCATCACAGTATTCTAGAAACGGATGTCTTAACCTAGTGTGTATAGAGAAATTGTTCTCGTTGTAAACATACCCCTGTTCTTACCTGAACTCGGTGGAAGCCCAGCTTCGTGTGCTACGGGGCATGATAATGATAATAAAGGAATTGTATCTAGGACTACCTTCTGTTGGTTGTTTTTCTCCTCTGCAAGGAAGCCCCAGGCCATGAGTTCATCAAATGTACCGTGACCCACTGCTACATCGTGAAGCTGCTATGTTAGCCACGGCTTCCCTATAAGTAAACCATTGGCCACATTGGATACGGTCCTGCTTACCCTTCTTTTGTCAGCCCTCATCACTGTTGTGTTTGAACTGACTTCTCCTGCTCACAAGTGTCATTAGCTCCTGGCTGCAACAGAGAGCCAGGCTCAAACACATGTACTTAAATTGTATTCCTCCTTAGGCTTCCTCCCTTCGGTCAGTCATGTTTTCATACCATTTACCATGACGCACAACCAGCATCTGTTCATGAACCTGCAGTGAGCTCCTTCCACTGCAGGTGGCACCCTCTGCTTGGCTGCAGCAGATGCAGAGTGTGGCAAAAAGTCAGGAGCAAGGGGGCTCGGTCTGGTGAGACACACACTCCTACTGCAAGCCGCACCCCCAGACCAACTCACTCCACTGTGACAGGGTTTCTCCACCATTGACCTCTCACCATTGATGAGGACTGATTTGTCCTCATCCCCAAACCTGGAGTTGGACACGTTTTCATTGCAAATGCAAAAAGATGAATCTTTGCTGAGGGGACTAATAGTTGCCTAGTCCAGAGCTACAAGAAAGTACGTGTTTTTGTCTTCTATGACATAAAATGGTCATATTATTTCATTCACTATTCTGTCTAGAAAACTTGCTTGAGAGGTGGTGTATTCATCTGTATTCACACTGCTAAAAAGAACTATCTGAGAGTGGGTAATTTATAAAGAGAAGAGGTTAAATTGACTCACAGTTTCACAGGCTTGCCAGGAAGCATGGCTGGGAGGCCTCAGGAAACTTACAATCATGACAGAAGGCAAAGACGAAGGGGAAGCAGGCACCTTCCTCACATGGTGGCAGAAGAGGGAGAGTGAGGGGATAGGTGCCACACTTTTAAACAACCAGATCTCATGAGAACTCACCATCACGAGAACAACAAGGGGGAATCCGCCCCCATGATCCAATCACCTCCCACCAGCCCCCTCCCCCAACATTGAGAATTACAATTTGACATGAGATTTGGGGGATACAGAGCCAAACCGTATCAGTCAGTGAGGAACCTGAAGAGTACCCAGGTAGTCTGGGCTCAGGGGTATCCCCAGACAGAGGGATGGGGGTGGTCAGGGAGGCAGCTGAGAACCCAACAGGGCTCTGCCACTTGCGGTGTAAGCACATTGATCCACCCGGGGAGGTCCCCAGGCAGGGACCCACTTTGCAAGGGAGCTCCAGTCGCTCTCCTGTGTCTGCAGGGCCTCTTTGGTCAAGGTCCAGTTGTTCACTGAACGGTCATAGCAGTGGCCGCCTGACTATTTAGATGTTGAGCAGGGGAATGGAGCCAGCCTAGGGCAAGCTCACGGTCATCTGTCCCACTGGAGTGAGTTGCCTGCTCCCCTCCACCATCACTATGAGTGTGTGCATGTGTGTGTGCAAATCATCCAACGCAAATGTACTAAGGAGGGACAGGTGCCCTCCAGGCTCTTTCCTGCTGCAAGTAGGCAGCGCTGTTACTGGCTTACAGCTGCTGCCTACACAGCCCCAACAGCCAACAAGAGCCATGTCAGCCAGGCAGGCAGCATGATGCCATTGCTGAAGCGGTGCCTTTGGTGGCTGCTGGCTGGCCTGCCACCCTCTGGCTTCTGTCTCTAGCTGAAACCCTGTCTGGCAGTGACTTGAGCAGAAAGAGGAGGATCCTTCCAGGAACCTGGTGGGAGCCTTTGCATCAGGCCAGAGGACAAGAGGGAAAGAGTGAAACAGGAATCCAGCCCTTTCCATGAGCAAGGTACAAACAACGTCACCGCACTAAGGGCATAACAAAGCCAGCCAGAGGCAAGAACATTAATGTTCCCATGATGGGGACAAGGAGCAACTTCCACTGGGCTTTTAAAACACACCGTAGTTCACGAAGCCCAAATTCTGCTTTAGAGAACCCTGAGTTAGGCGCCAGAGGTCAAATTCAACATCCTCTCCCCAAGTTCCCTATTGGTAAATAAGAAGGTTGGGTCATTTTAGGAACTGGGGTCTCTCACCAAAGAAAAGAAATATATTGAGAATATACAGATGCTCCTCAACATATGATGGGGCTACATCTTGATAAATACATTGTAAGTTAAAAATATTGTAACTAAGTTAGGTGTGGTGGCTCACATCTGTAATCCCAACACTTTGGGAAGCTGAGGTGGGAGGATTGCTTGAGTCCAGGAGTTCTAGCCTGGGCAACATACGAAGACCCCGCCTCTACAAAAAATAAACAAAATCGGCTAGGCATGATGGCACACACCTGTGGTCCCAGCTGCTATGGAGGCTGAGGTAGGAGGATTGCTTGAGCCCAGGAGTTCAAGAATGCAGTGAGCTATGGTTGCACCACTGTACTCCAGTCTGGATGACAGAGCAAGACCCTGTCAACCAAAAAAAAGGAAAAAGAAAAAGAAAGAAACAAAAAGAGGAAAGAAAGGAAAGAAAAGAAAAGAAAGAAAGCAGAAAAGAAAATATCAAGAAAAAAAAGTCAAAAATGCATGTTAAATACACCTAACCTACCAAACATCTTAGCTTAGCCTGGCCTACCTTAAACGTGCTCAGAACACTTAAATTAGCCTACGTTTCAGCAAAGTCACCTAACGCAAAGCCTGTTTTATAACAAAGTGTTGAATGTCTCATGTAATTTATTAAATACTAGTTTGAAAGTGAAAAGCAGAAATGGTTTTTGTATGGGTATTGAAAGTACGGTTTCTACTGAATGTATGTGGCTTTCACACCATCATAAAGTCGAAAAAAATCACAATTTGAACCATCATTAATAGGGGACCGTCTGTCTTGGGATTCCAGAAATTTGCCCACTGGTGGATTGGCCCTGCTCTGGATGTTGGACATGGGTAAGTTCCAGAATTCAGTAACCAGAAGAAACATTTCTAGGCAACAGGTACTAACCGCAGGCCACTGTGCAGCCTTCCTCTACCAGTTCACCTCTCTCCTCTCACAGGGCCAAGGGAAACTAGTGTCCAGGTCTATCCCCGCTGGTTCTCAGCCATCTGATGGTCCCCGGGGCCACAAAGGGGAAGTCCCGAATAGCAGCATCAGTCAGGAGAGCCTGGCTCAAGTGTGCCCTGTGGAGTGTTGTTACTCTTTCTGTTAGCTTGAGGAGACACTAGGCTGTCTCATGGCTGTCATTAAACTCAGCAAAAGCAAGATGGCTAAATCAATAGCCTCCCAATTGATGAATGCTTTAAGAAGGGGCCGTCCCAATGCCAATATCTTTGAGTCCAAAATGACATTTATTTAATCTGGCTTCCCTCTTGCTTCTGTGGAATAGTGAGTGCTGCTGCTGAGCTCACCCAAAGGAAACTGAGGCCTGGGGAAGCTTGTTCCCTGAGCTCCTGCAGGCAGCAGCTCACCCACCTCGATACACCAACTCCCCTTCCCCAACCACCCCCTTCCCACACCCACTCTCCTGTATCCCCGGCTTTCAGCCTGGAGGATGCTCTTCCTTGAAGACCTGACTTTAATTTTTTAGGGACTCATGTCCAACCAATTTCTTGCCAAGTTCCTATCCTGGTCTAGGAACAAGCTGGATGCCTCTAGACACATGCTTTCATTTAATCCCCACAGCAGCTCTGTAAAACAGGCATTATTCTCATTTTGCGGATGACAAAACCAAGACAAGTTCAATGACTGCCCAAGGTTCACATGGACACCAAATGCCGAGTGGGAATTTAACCCAGCATCTCCAACTCCCAAACCAGTGCCCTTTCCATCCGCGCCACAGTACATGTCTAATGGTGAAAGTTCAAGTGTGGTGATGGCTGATAAGATAGTTTTGGTCTGGAGGAACCTCGATAATGTTTTGCAGGCTATGAGGCTCAATACACACAAAAGAAGAGGTTTAATTACACCATGCTGGTCTCTGCCCTCTCCTGCACAGGAGCACCGAGCCCAGAAAATCCGTTCATCCGTCCATTTGTATGAACAATGAGTCATCTTCCCATTTATGCTGGATGAATGGCAAAAATGCTCCCTCTCCCACCAATAAATCTAGTTAACCACAAAGGCTGTGCATCTCTCAGATCTGCTGGCTTTGTCTCCACCCCACTGCCCTTCCCTGCAGCTCTATCATCTCTCACCTAAATCACTGCAGTGCCTGTGCCTGATCTCCCTGCAGCCTCCTCTGTCCCTCTGACCACTCTTCACACTGTAGCTTCAGCCAACTTTCTAAAGGCCAGATCTGAGCCCATCACATTTGGGCTGAAAGCCTTTCCATGGCTCCCATTGCTCTCAGCCTAAACGTCAAGCTCCTTGGCCAGGTTTTCAAGGTTGTGATCTGGCAGTGTCTCCAGACTGCCCACCTTCACCCTCTGTGCTTCCACTCTGTGGACCACATCCATCCACAGGACACATCTCCTTCCACTCCTTGCCAGGTTAACTAACACATCCTGTCTTCAGCTCTTAGCATCAACATCACCTCCTCTGGAGGGCTTCCTTCTCCTCAGGTTGGGTCACGGCCTCTCCCACATGGCCAGCCAGTAGCCTGTGAATATAACCATCAGCACTCACCTGCAATCACGTTCACTCTTCTGGGGTCCCCACTGGACGGTTGGCCCTGCAAGCACAGGGACTGTGTCTGCATCTTCCTTGACTGTTGTCTAGGTGCTTGGCATGAGTTACTTGAGTATTCAGTAAGTCTGAGCCAATAGACATTTGTGTGTGCAGGCACCAGTGTTAGCCACATGAAGGGCTGGCAGGGTTCTGCTATAGCTCATAAGCCGCCCTTTCTTAACCGTGCTTTGCTGAGCACCAATGGGGAGGCAGTTCCCCCACCACATTGCACAACAGTGAGAGAACTCCCAGAGTCATCCCAGCCACTCCCATGGACGCATCCCAGAAGGCTCTAGCCCAGTCACCAGACGTCCCCAGGGAAGGAAGATGACCCTCTCATAT